CTTTTAAAAACATAACTATTTATAATGCTCCCCAAATAATAAAAAATAAAAAAAACTTTTTTGATTTACGGTATTTTCTTATTTTGATGTTTTGAGCTCCTTTGTGTTTAGAATAATATATACTAATTTTTAAAGTATCAAATTGAATTTTTTTTCAATAAAAAGTTTTCAAATGTGACTGTAGCTTTTTCCCCCTTAAAACTTTGTCTTCAAAATAAGGGTGCGTCTTATATTCCGAAAAATACGGTATGTTTATTTTTCATGTATGAATTCTAATCTGTAATTGATATTTCGTCATTAGGTATGCGCTATACTGATATATAATTAAACTAGTTGCGTGAGTGAGGTAAGTCTTAATTTAATACATTTAAGAATTTGTTGAATAAGTAAAATGTTTAAACTTAGTAACTACTCTTTTCTAGATATCGCTTTCCATTAATTATAGGTTTAGAAATTTAAATTAAGATATTATGTTAAGTTATGACGTTTGTTATTGTAATTTTCGTGCCGTTGATGACAACACATTAACAGTACTACATTACAATTTACAACTACTGAACTACCACTGTGACTGTGGTAGTTCAGTAGTTGTACCATTTGTGCAACGAGTCTGAAACTGTGAGATAACAACTTGCAAGTGCGATAGGAATGTTCAAAAAACTTCACTTTGGCTAAAATTATTCAGTACTACTATAAACTAGAACTAATTAGTACATATATTTGTGGAACTTCACCGAAACTGGAAGTACTAAACCCAAAAAGTAAAACGTAGTACGTTTAACATAGTTGCAATTTGCAGATCTAATTATTTGTTCGTTACTTTTGTAGATTGAATTTGAACTGTTGAAGACAGGCACTAGGTAAAACGCCAAAACTTCGTTTCGCTGACTGGTAGTTGTAGAATGATTTTCAGAAACACTTGTATTGTTATAAGCTATATTATTATGCCTAAAGCACTCAGTAAACCTTCCTTAAACTTTAAAGTATTGAATAAGGTAATACTAATATTAATAAGTGGAACACTTTGCTCCTAAAAAATTAGACTTTTACATTTAGAGAATGAAGTTAAAGCATGATATAATACTTCATCTAACACTAGTACTAGTAGTAACAGAGCTTTCAGGTACCATAGGAAATTTTTTCATTTATATTTTAAAGTAAATTTTTTTTCAAAACTAAGTTAAACCTAGGCTTACATTTAATTTATACAATTTGATAAAAATACTTAAATGGGGGACCATCACATTGCCAAAATAACAACAAATTAATATCTGTGTTTTTTACATAAATTGATAAACTTTAAGAGTAATCCTTTGAAAACTAACAGTATTACTACAAAAATGAAGAAATCTTGCTGATGTGACCTACACTCAGCTCAGTTTGTTTTATTATGCTATAAACTGTGATGCCATTCACAAGCTAGTTTCCAGTAGTACTACTACTATTCCTCCTAGTGGGTAGTTATCCTAAAATGAGACATTAATAGTAGATATAAAATAACAAGGAAACAATAAGATTTCATACACATACATTCTGTATACAAAATTTTGAGTATTACAGTTTTTTAAAGCATTGTATCATGTATTCTCAAATACATTGAGAATTTAAATTGTTATTGTCACCTATTAATTTTTGATTCAAACTGTATACAAACAGTTGGTCATGTTAAAATTTAACACTTAATGGCATATAAAACCTCATTAGTCAATCCCTGATGGCAACTTTAGATGTAAAAGACTCTTTGTATCACATATCCAAATACACATCTTTGAAGATCTTTGAATGCTTTATCACAGGATATATCTATAACACTTCTTGATACAAAGAGTTGGTTATACCAAAATTCAATACTGATTACCATGTTTACCACATTAGTCAATATTCAAAGCTGCATATGCTGATGGAGGACTGTGTCACAAATCAAAACACACATTTGTGATGATCATTGAATTTTTTTATCCCATGAGGTGTAATACTTCTTCACAAAGAGAGGCTGTTATGCTGAAATAAATCTAAGAATATCGTCTTAACCTCATCAGTCAGTTTTGAAACTGGATTAACTTGTAAAGGACAGTGTCCCAAATCAAAACACAATATATATAACTCTTCCTCCTGACACATATAGTCCATAATGATATAATTCATCACCAAATATCAAGTTAACATCATTGTTCAATTTTATAAGTGGTGTACACTGTAATGCTACATACTGCAAGAATGTAGAGAGTAACTAGTGTCCTCCAGTGGTAAATTAGGTGATATCTCCCTTGTAAAGTTGCTCAACTTATAATACTACTATTATAGTGACATGTATAAAGACAAATGCATACTTCTACACTTTAAAAAAATGTGTTTTTGGTAGTTATGCTTCAAAATAATCAAGAAAAGCAAGGTTCCACTTAATTTTAAACTTAAAATGCAGATAGTCATACATAATTGTACCTTCTGAATCCAGAAATTGAAGCACATTTTGTAAAATGTTTATCATTACTTGTTCTTCTATATTTAGAAAGCCAAAATTTTACATATTGAAGAATGTAGTTTCGACAGTGAAATAACTTTGACTTAGTCAAAACTAATGCTATAGCATTACTAAATGCCTGCTCTCTGTTTGTTAAAAATGGGATATACAGTTTCTTCAGCGTTGTCCATTAATTAGTTAAAACTTGAAAAAGCAGTCCATGTGACTATTCATTTTTTTTTGTCATGTAGTAAGAATGTAGCAGAAATGATAGGTTTTTTGTTACATTTTGCATTGTTATGCTATAGTTTTTTTGGATTCTGAGTTTTTATTTGCCATCTGGTATAACTATAAGAATGTATAAGTTTAAATTTCATACCTCATGGTATTCCTTAGCTTGGTAATTTTAATTGAAACAGTCACTTGCAAAACATGCTCCTTTAGCAGTCTTAGTATTATATATGCTTCAAAGTAAACTAAAGTAATACTGAAAAACTAACAGCATCAATATGCATGTGATCTATATTGCACCTTTTTTGGTTAGTAGAGCTGGGCGATAGATTATGTAAGACCAATGATTACATCAATTAATGCCTCATAAATTACTATTAATTGAGTGATGTCATGAAAATAATGAAGTAATTGAAATTTGTGTGTCTGATTATTACTGTCTTTGATTATTCCAATAATCATTTAATCAGAAGTATGATTAAATTGATTTTGTTAGTTTCCAGTTATTTACTGTTTTTGATTATTCTGACAATGTAAGTAATTGAAATACTGTCATTATATTTGTTGTTAAGCAAAAAGCTACATAATGGGTGTATGTGGGGGAGATGCTTCATGATTTAAGGGTTCTCGGGTTCAATTCCCATTGTCATTAAATTTTGCTGTAAAGTAACTAAGGCTATTTTCCACTGTCACTAATTTTAAACAGAGATTAAAGGGAAGACAACTGACTAGTAGCAACCACCACCTATTCTCTGGTTGCTTAAGTAATAAATAAGTGTTTTTAAACTATTTCTGATTCTATAATTGCATAATTGTATTCTTTAATGTTTGAAAAATGTCCGAGGGCTGCAAACAGCTTCCCCCAAACAGTCCATATGGGCCATTAGTAATGACTGAATTGTACTGTTTTTACATAAAGTGAATCTGTGATCTTATTTAAAAGGCAAAGTAAGTTTAAAAGGCAAATATGAGGCTTGGTACATTAATATGATGAATAATCAAAGTGACAATCAATAAAACTTTATGCTCAATAAAAGTGGAAAAAAAAGAAGATGATAATCTCCTTAAAGTCTGGCACATTGTGACTAGAATCATATGATAATTACCCTTGTGCAACTTACAAACAAGAGTAAAATAGTATTAATATTGATTACGAGGAAAAAGAATGGAAATAATATCAAACAATTAAAAGTCACTAACTTGTTTGTGCATGTTAAATTGTTCATTACCTGCAAGTTAGTGACAATTAAGAATTTAACATGCATAAACAAACAACCTGATATTAATCTATTTACTTACATCAAAATGTCATAAGAAATCAAGTAAATTTGAAGTAAATGTACTTGGCATAGTCACATTAAAATGTACCAAGGTGGCCCTTTGCCTGGTTTGTTCTTAACTGTAACTGAAAAGCTAGTTTGTCCACTGTGATACTGTTTGCTGAATATTGACAACAAAACAAGAGTTGCTGGTTTAAGCTGAGATATATTCAAAGTGTACCACTGAATTATGATGATTTCATATCAATATGACAGCCCTTGCAGCCTTGTGTTGCGAAGAAATTATTTCATCAAATGCAATTTGGTCATGATCAAATTTGCTAAAATTCTTCTTGCTAATCTGAATATGCTAATAATTTATATCCAATTTTGTAACTTTTGTGCCGTGTTTGTATAGTTTTTGGTGGTGCCCTTCAGAGTTCCACAGTCTTTACTTGCAGTGGTAAACGTTTTGTAAAATATTCTTTTTGAACTATTGACTGGATACATTAGAGAGAGAGAGAGAACAATATATTGTAGTTATATAATTAGAATATCTCATTTGTTAGACAACAGACATATTGCTTATGTAAGACACATAGTTGGTGTCCATTGTGCAATAAAATAGTATTAATAAAGGACAAATCACATTCAAAATGGGGCCTTTCTCTTCTGTTTTTTCAGTTTGCAAGGTAGGTGTGGAAGTTTAGATTTTAACTTGAATCTGCTTTTAAGGCACTGAGAAATGTAGCATGATTTAAGGTATGTATAGGTAATCAAACAATGCTTCCGTAGTACACAATGCAATTTCAAGGTCGCTTGAGCCTATATACACAATTCAGCTGAAAGGTGCATATCACAAATCTTTACAGAGTTGCATTCAACGTTTAAATAAACAATTGTATTATTAACTAGCTGGAGTACCCATCCCCTGGATGGAAGTTACGTAAACTTATGATTAATAAAAGGCTATCTTAGAACATGAAAAGTTGCTTCCCTTATATGTAATTGTAAAAACTGCAAAACACAATGTGTAACTGCAAGTTTGCATGTATCTCCATGAACCTCCATACCAACTTTGCTGAAGATCCATTCACCCTGCGAAGTAGTTTGGTAGACAGATAACAGACAGTACTATTATATTTATATAGATACTAATTGGAGTACCCTACCCAGGATGGAAGTTATGTAAATTCATGTTTAATGAAACATTATCTTAGGACATAAAAAATGGCTTCAATTACATGTAATTGTAAAAAACTCAAAATACCCATAAAGATAATATTAATATTATAATTTGTAGTAATTTGGGTTAAAAAACACAATAATAACTAGATTTAGTAAGATTGGTAAATAGAAGTAAGGTCAGAGTTTTAACTTAAAAGAGTTTTAGTGGTGCAAATTTTACTACAACGTTAAAATAGGCTTAGTATGTATAATGGTACTTTAGGCTTAGGTATATTTCAACTTACTGGTAAATCGTAAAACATGATAAGTACATTGTTTTATTAAATAAATACAACATAAAACTAGTTTATTGTCTCTTGGTGTTTTAAGAATTAATTTTTTTACTTGAACGTAGATCCATTATTTTGAATTCAGCTTATAGATATAGGTAGGTTATAATATAAATCAGGCTAAATACAACTTATTATTAATGCTACGTATATTGTTCTAATAAATTATTAAGCTCTATTTCTAAGTTCTATATATTTAAAGATAAACTTTATTACTTTAGTGTGTAGACAAAATAGTGATAAAAAATAATTGGTTCTTAAACGTAACAGTGTTAACAATAGGCTACTGATATTTGGTATTGAGTATTTATTTTCAGGCTGTAAGTATAAATACTGTTACGTCTCCGTTCGTTAATTGATTTTCCGTAACTTCGTTCCGACGAAACTTTAGC